GGCGGGGTATTTAGCTGCTTGTGATTCCCAGCCTTCCCCGAGCGCAGCGTGCCTTACTTTGCAAGCCACCCGGTGAGGGCAGAGCTTCCCGAAGCCCAGCGGGGGCTGAATCCGCCGGAGCAATGTCACCACGTCCAAGTGTTTGATCCGTCCCCTAAAGGAGAAAGCACGGTGAGGGTCGCATCCTTACCACGAGGCGACCTGCTGATCTGCCTGCAGAGTGCGGGTGCAGCTAGAAGTATCACTGAGATCTTCCCAGCCCCGCGCTGCCGCTCCCTGTAGCCTGGGCATAGCTGAAGGTATTATTTCAGGCCTCTTGCATTCGGTGATTCCTCAGGATTTGCCCAGCACTCATATAACTCCTGCTAGTACAGAAAACCCAGCTGTCCATCATACACGAGTCACTACTTGCAAGAATTGACTTCAGTGTTTTGAAGGCTGCAGTTCCTCAGTGCATGAATGGACAATTTGGGGTTGTCCCCCCACCCCTGATCTGCTCAAAATCTACGGCTGCTTGTTTACCTGTCGGTCTTAGGTCTATAGCAGGCACAGAGGTGCAAAGGGTCTCTTTTTTCCTGGCGCTTTACCTCCCATATAAATAGCCCCAAGCCACTGTCTTTTGATACTTGTTTGTGCTTTGGGCTGTCACTGGAGCCAGCGCAAAAGAAAGTGCTGAATTTCCTCCACAGCAGCAGTTGGGTTTCTTTTAAGTTCTGTAACTGGCATCTCAAAAGAAGAATTCTCTTGTGGAGGGAGGAATGCTACCAGAGCCAGAGGTGGGGCTTCAAGCATGGGACATGGATGGGAAAGAGGAAAAAAAGAGCTTCCCATTTATAGATGGGAAGAAACAGGATGTCATCCGGACTGGGTGGCTATCTATTATATGGCTTCAGCCACTGCAGTTTTGCCTTCAAACAAGCACAAATAGTAGCATCTCTTTGGTTAACAATCAGTATATTTATTAGAATTCTGTGTTTATCCCCTATCCATATTAAAAGTCTCTCTGCGCAGTCACCAAAGAGACCTTCTTCTCTGGGAAGAAGGGTTTCAATTCATGTATCACTCTGATAATATGACATGGCCTCACATATTGCAGAACCTGAGCCCAAATTAATCTTGACACTGTCTTCTAAAGAGATCTGCTTTTAGTTTACGCCAAGATCTCTTTCCACAGTTTTTGCTTTATGAAGGGGGCTTTGCAATTACAATTGTCAACTGTACTGTAATGCCGCAGGGATCTAAATGCACTTTAAACCTAAGCATGTGTCCCACAGAGCATATAATACTGAATGTCAGTTAAAGCCTCGTGTGAGTTGTTCTTGTGTAACTTTAAATCCCTGCAAGTCTGCTGATGTGAATAACCCTGCAGACAACATAATGCAGCCATGTGAAGGTACAGGTTGTGATGGGCCTATATGACATATGACAAAATGAAGATTTGAGCACAGCAGCTCTACTGTGAGTAGAAGGTCAAATAGAAGAGTTACAGCTCAATATCCCAAACACATGCAACAATAAACCAAGCCTCTAACCTCCTTCGCTCAACCTCCTGCTGCCCCTCCCTAAACAGTCTACATCTCCCCCCGACTGAAAGTGAAGCAATGTCCTACCAGGTAACAGTGCAGCCTATATGCTGAGATTTTTGTGTGTATCCTTGCACTGCTGGCTTATGGATTCACCAGCAATACCTTGTGGAGGTATCTAATTTAGGATTTTTGCAGGAAAAAAGTGTTCCTGCAGGAGGAACATGGCACTTACTGCACTGGGTCTGGAGAACAGAAAATAATGGGCCTGTTCTCCCGAGGAGCTCTAATATCGAGGCTGGGTTACTTACTTGGCTTCAGGGTCATACTCTGCCCAGATCCTTTTAAACTCATCCAGGTGGTGTGGTCCTAAAATGGACCAGTCCCGTGTCAGGTAATCAAAGTTATCCATTATAACAGCTACAAAAAGATTGATGATCTGCAAACAAGGACAGAGATGACTTGATGGATGAGGCAGGAAACAGTAGACTTTACTGGGTTCTCCATTTAAGGTCTGGATTTGGACTCATAAAACTAGAAAGTCATTGGGGGTGGGTTCCCCCATGCCAGCCCCCCAGTTTAAATGGGAAGATCCCAGAGGCAGGATATTCTCAGCTGGGTCACGTTTTTCTCTTCCCTGCTGAATGGATGAGGCCCAAGTTTGCTGAATGCTTAGACACGCTGTGATGGCTTTTTATTTACCTGTGTCTTTGCCCAGCAGAACGGGGGAGTGGTGGGAGAATCTGGGATTTATCCTCTACAGGCAGTGGGGCTGAGATAAAAGTCCTTTCTTCTGGCCCAAAACCAAAACTTTTAAAATGTTGCTGCTGTTCACTGGGAGAGTTTTGCGCACTGATGCCAGCTGCAGAGCATGTGCTGTCGCCCTGAGCAATGCCGCATTGCCAACACAGAGCAGATGCAAGTGGGATATGTGTATTCTCACAGTCATTGCTGCTGGCAGGGGAGGAAAAACCTGCTCAGCAGCCAGAAGGAAGGTAGGAGGGAAGGTGGGAAGTGTGGCTGAGGCGTTGCTAGCCTCAGCACAGCCCACAACACGCTAATTTGGTTTTCTCATTGAGAGGGAGGGGGGAAGAGCGCTCCTTTGCTGTGCACAAAGGATTGGGACTGGAAGCAGAGCATCCCCCAGAGCTGGAGGGAGGCAGGAATGGCAATGACCGAGGGGGTGTTGTCACTGAAAGGGTGCTGCTGGGAAAGACCCCATGGGGAGATTTCCCCTCTTTGAGATCATTCTTCTGCTGTGCAGTGCTGATACCTGGGGAGGCAGGGGCTCAGTCTGACAGAGGGCAGGTTTTGGTTGCTGGGGCGGACTCACCAGGAAGGCACAGAGCATGTAGAAGCTGATGAAATAGAAGACGGCAAAGCTGCTGCCACAGGAGTGATCGGCTTCAGTGGAGTTGGCCGGCTCCGACTCTGGGTCACACTTCTTGTCTGGGAGACATGCCAGCATGATTTCCTGCCAGGCCTCACCGGTGGCACACCTAGGCATGGCAAAGGACAAGGGAAGACAGCAGTGACCTTCGATGTGAGAGAGACTGGCACATTAGCAACCTGTGTCTGCTCCCATGAACATTACTGGGAATTTTGCCACTGAGGTCAATTAAGAGTAAGTTAGACCGATGGCCAGGTTTGACATACACTGGCATACCCTGCTCCTCTTTTTGGCTTTGTTGCCATCATTAGCGTGTTGTTCCTGACTGGCTTTGCCTAGTCTGGGCAGGGGGCTGTCATGCTCCAACCTGCCTCAGTCATCAAGACGAGTGTGACATGGCTATGGATTGCATGAAAAAAGTCCTTGAAAATGAGGAGCGTGTGTTGAATTTGTGCCAACTCCCCACCCCTTCAGCACTCCTCCCTGGCCCCGGCACACCTGGCCACAGCTGGAGCAGGATGATGTGCTAAGCTGAGCTGGGCATGGCATGCCAAAGCACAAGTGGGCGTCCATGTCCCTTTCCCTGCTAAAGTAAGCTGGAAGTCATACTGGCTCGATTGGAACGAAAGGAGGAGCTTGTGATGCATATCAATGCTTGAGAGCCCTGAAAACTGGCTACCTTCCTTCTGAGTAGGAGGACTTGCCTCCCTCCCCAGCACGGAGTGTGGGCCAGTGTCAGCAGGCAGGGTGCAAGGCTTAAATGGACTGGTCGTTTTCATCTGACGTTAACTCCTAGGCTCCCCCGCCAAGGGACAACATGTTTCTACTCACCTCGTGAGCATGACATGGTAGAAGGAGATAAGCTGTGCCCAAGAGCAGAGGAATCGTGCTCCCAGACTGACACAATCCAGAGCTGTCAGACACCTACCTGAAAAGCAGCAGCACTGCCTGGGGGAAGGTCTGGAAGTTGTTGTTGCGGTTGATTTCTGTGGTATCGTTCAGCGCAATTTTACCAAACACCTGGCAGAGAGCAGAGGTCTTTTCAGGTTAGCCTTGCAAAATCCCCAAACCTCTTGTCACCTGTAGCTCTTGGCCTCACCCTGACTCTGATACTTAACAGACTCTGCTCTTAAAAATTTTTTTCCACAGGTCTTTCATATTTGCTGTTGCTTCTCTTGCTTTTGCTTTATCACCAGAAAAGCAGTTATTTTGTAACAAGAGGCATCTTTTGTTAAAACAAGACATCCTTCCTTATTTCATACACTGTGAATACATGATATGGGGCCCTATTTTAACAAGCACTCGTATGGGAAGGGGGTCCAGCTGAAAGAAATCAGTAACACAGAAGAAAAGGCTCCTTCCTTCATTGCTTATCTGTCTTCACCAGGAGGAAATGATAGCAAAAGACCAGCAGCTGCAAAGCCTTGAGCTTCCAGCTCTGTGGGGTGCCTTGAATCTTCCCAAAACAATGTAAAGTACGTTGCCTTGGATCTGGAGATTGTCCAAATGCTTGACCTTCTAGTAGCCACACTTGTCACCAGCAGGTGTTTTCAGCTCCCCCCCCCCCCGAATGCAGCAGTGTGAAGATGATGACTAGGTTTTCCCAGACAAAGATGGCTTACAGCTTCCTTCCATGCCCAACCAACCGTCGCTGCACCAACTAGTTCATCCAGCCACAGCACAAAGCCTGCAACCATCAGCAAACCTTTTTAGGGGCCTGCCCTTGGATGTGAGTGCAGGAGAGTTTCAGGCTTCTTTGAAAAGGTCTTTTATATAGCTTTGGTACTTTTGGGCACCAGGACTGAGAGCTTAACAAACCTTGCCTGGCAGAAAGGTCTCTGCACAGCATAGTCAGTCAGGACTATTTATTCCCCATCGATGGCAACGTGACAGAGATCTCAAGGACTGAGAGCTGTAATCTCGTAGCCAAAATGAGCAGCAGGAACAGAGCAGCTCTGAGAGAACATGAAGCTTCTTTTCAAGCAAATGTCACCGATAATTAACACCCCAAAAGATACAACAATGTGGAGAGAAGCGCAGGGACAATGGTGGGGAGGCCATGCCAGACGGGAGGGAGGGTCTGTATGTGGCAGGCTTTCTGCAGGGGTTCCTCATGGATGTGTGGGCCTTCCCCAGCCCCGACCGCCCCCACGCCGCGGGTAGCAGTGACAGCCCCAGCTGCACTGAGGAGGAGCAGGAGGACAGATTAAATGTTCAGGAGCTGTTTGAACTGAGGCAGCCCATATTTTTCATTTCAGGCAAGCGTAGGCAAGGGAACTTCCCATGCTGGAAGTCTGATCTTCCTCTTGACCCTGTGGCTTCCCTCACACACAATGCACCTGCAGCAGCTACTACGGGTGCTTTGCATTAGGCACCGAGGAGGAGCTGCAGGAAGAGGTTCCTCTCACATGGCCTCTCCAGTTTGTGCCTCCTGGGCCATGATATGATTGGCTTCATCCATCAGCATCAATTTGGATTTTTCCACTTGGGCACGTTAGGTAGCAAGGCTTGAATGTTGTTACGCTCCAAGTCAGGGCAGTAGCCAAGATAAAGTGGTAGGTCTCCTTTATGTGGGAAATTCTTATATTTTCATCAGATCTGGTACATCTAGTCTGTCAAGGTAGCTGCTTAATGGAGTGAGGAAGGATTTTCCTTCCTATGTGTTCCTATGTGTGAGGGAATTCTATGTGTCAGCAAGTTCAAGAGAGCAGCACACAAAATGTCTGAGATGCCATCTGGACAAAAAGTGATGATAACAGGTCTGTGGGCTCTAAGCAAAGAGGGAAGATGAGAAAAGTTGGTTTTCTTATTGGAAGACAGGAGGGCAGGAAGCAATCTAGTAATCTAGATCAATGTGAAAGACAGACGTATGATCTTCAGGCTGCTGAGATGATTAAAACAGAGGCTTGAATGTAAGCCAAGGATTAAATAGCCAACTTAGAACTAGCTGACAGAAAAGGGAATAGAATTACAGAATAAAATATCTAGCCCTGGCAGTGCCCTGATCATTGTAGACCCCATCTGCGTGGGTGCTTGGAAGCCATTTTTAATGCTTTGTGTAGCTACGTAACATTAGTGTAATACTCTCAAGTGATTTTCTGTATAGCACAGGTAATCCTGCAAGATCTTGGCCATTTGAGCTAGTTAGGTATTAAAGGCAAAACTGGCAAATTTACAGTATGAGCCTAGTAGACCGACAGCTGTAGTTACTGGGGGCAATTGAGATAACCTATGATAATTCAAGAAAAGATCAGTTTTATTTTTCAAACTGGGGGAGGGTAGGTGGACTCTGTGAAAAGATGTGGTTATAATAACAGGAAACAAATTAAAACAAGGTCACAGAGGTCAGATTAATTTTGTTACAAATTCTGTCGGCATTGTGAAACCAAGAAGCCTGTCATGTTTGAGGACCTCTGGAAGCAATTATGCCATGCCTTTCTATACTTCGGTCTCTGGTCCCAGACGGCTGACTTGTCTGAGATCTTTGAATAACACCAAAATGGAAAGTGAAGCTTAGTTTGAAAAGCAGCACAACAGATGAGGCTGGGACTGTCACAGACTGTGCCTATATCACATGCTTTCTTCAATGGTCTGTATGCAACATCAGTTTCTTGCACAGATGAATGCTCAGGCCAGTTCCAAGTTCATTTTGCAAACTGAATAGGATATTGTATTGATGCAGCTTCCTGAAGAACTGACACAGACACATTGGTACATGGGGTCTGATCCCGTGCTTACCTTCACGGGTGTAAATCAAAAGCTGCTCTTTACAACTCAGTGGAAGTTATGCCAGTGTGAAAGTGATGCGAGAGAAAAATTGGGTTTGTTCAGTGTAGAACGGCCATAAGCCCACTAAAACAACTATTTTGAACCAATGAGCGAGGCAGTAAATCTCCTTTGCCACCACCACTGGGTATTCCTTTGAGACTGTGGAGGGCAGGCATGGCCCTTTTACTGTTTGCATATTGCATTCTGCCATTAAATGGGTTGGGTTTTGTTTTTTTCTGGAGTGCATTGTGCTCCTGTTGGAAGTGAATAGGCAGACAATGTTCTCCAAACAAGGTTAGCTGCCGTCTTACCTTACTGGGCGAAAACATTCTTGTAAGTCCCTACAACCACACATTGATCTAGTTACTTTATAAGTCAGTTCCCAAAACTCTAACAGGAGAAGACAGACACAGTTGAGCTCTTTAGCATCACCTACCTGCATCCCGATCACGGCGTAGATGAAGAACAACATCACTATTAAAAGAGCCACATAGGGGAGAGCCTAGAAATGAAAAAAAAAGAGCACTGTGTCGCCATCGAGCTCGGCACACTGGAGCCTGGTTCATGCTCCTGGCTTTGGGGAACTGGGCAGAGGCTGGCCCCAAACGTGGAGTCTGTAATTTGACCAGGTGGCCACTAGATGCCTCTACAGGCCCACATTTGCTTGTCCTCCCCGCCACCACCCTGCTGCCACCCAGCTCAGGCAGGCTCTGACTCTGCTCCCACTCGTGATGGTGTAGCTCTGCTGCCTTCAAGTCAGCCCTGCCCTTGACGGAGTGAGGAAAGTGAGGGCAAAAACAGTGTCTACAGCTGCTTACCAAGAGGAGAAAACTCTCATAACCAGTATTATTCTGGCACTAATGGCAATGTGATTTTTTCTGAATCCAGCCTGGTGAAATCAAAAACGCAACGGCTGCCGAGATCCAAATTCAAGGCTTCTGCTGCAATGGCTGGTACCATCCTAAGTACTTAAAGCAGCTTTGTTCTGTGTTGTGTTAGGTGTCTGTGATAGTGTCTGCAATGCACTACGTGTCTGTGACCAGCTGCTGAAGAGGAAATGCAGAGCCCTGATATGCAGAGCTGCCTCCTGAGGAAGAGGCCAGTGCAATCAGCAGTGTTGAGTGCTGTCGCTCTCCTCTGCCACTAGCGGGAATCAAGGGCACAGCTCGGGACCTCACAGGCTCAGGCTTTTGAGGAGGAATTTTCTACTCTGTTGCTTTTGAAATATATAGAGTTCAGGCCAGAGATTTCTAGACCTTACTTCAGAGGCAATGGGCAGACACATTCATCCTGAAAATGTGAGTACAGTCCCTGATCTGGATTTTGAACACCCCATTTCACAGAGTACAAAAAGCCTACCACATTATTATTTTTTTAAATATATGATTATTTACACATTTTAAGTTTATGCCTAAATTCTCAGAGAGATCTGAATATTAAAATGGCAAAAATTCAAACCTTTAAACAATGTATGTAATCATTGTCTTGAGGCTCAGGGGCAGATTCCTCTGTGTTTTATGGGGTCAGACAAATCTGTATGGTTACCCCACAATGTCAGTGGAGATACACCAGCTCAGAATTGGGCTCCAGACATTTTGTGATGTTGTGGTTGGGATACACACAAGACCTAAGAATAGCTCCTGGGATGGTGTCCAGACAGGACCTGAGGTGCATAACCTTACCAGTTCTTCTATCTTTCAAATGGGGATGGGAAAAGTGTCTTCTCTCCTGGCCGTCTGGCCCTCCTCTTTCTTTCCGTGTTCTTCCGCTCAGCCCACTCCTCTCTGCTGATGCACTTTCCTACTCATCTCTGCCCCTTATTCCCCACGGCTCCTTCAGCTCCCCACCTCCCATGTTCCACTCTTCTGGCTCTGTCCTCCTCCATGTCCATCCTTCCCTGGCTTTACCACTTTGTCCTTGTGATTCCCACGGCCTTGCCTTGCCCTCAGCACCCCTCTCACTTCCTCCTCCTCCCACGCGCCAGCCTGGGCTCTGTTGCTGTCTCTGCAGGCGGAAACCCCGCTGAGCACTTTCCCACCACACGCTCCTCTGACCGGTGCCCCAACTTGTATGTAAGCACTGTGCGCCATGCACAGGGCACATGGTAGTTACAATGGGCTCTGAACTCCAGCACGAGTTCGTTGCTTATTAGGCTGCCCTGTGTGAGCAGAGACACTTCCTGGAAGCATGTGGGGACATGGAGAAAAGCCCGTGCCAGACAAAGTCTGCAGGGACCCCAGATTTTGACAGTGGGAGTGGCTAAGTGAAGAGCTCTGCACAGTGACTATTCTTAGCTACCAAAGGAGCCTCTCAGTAGTTGCAAGAGGAGGAGCTCTGAGCAGAGAATACCATGTTATAAATGGCTAAAGGCTTTCAAGGGAAAAGGCACTTGCTTGCAGTGCTTTTTTTTTTTTTCCCCCTGCTGTGGAAGATACCTCCCTTGATACTTTCTCCCATCATCCTACAACCCTGCCTAAAAGTGACTCTCCAATCAAAGAGGTCTGAAGGTCACTGGAGGGAAGTACCAGGCACTCCCTTTCCCATCCATCTCATCCTCTCCAGCCAAGAGCCGTGACAAGCTGAGCTCAGGATAAGAGTGAGCTATTGCTAAAGAGGCTAGAGGGGCACAGGGGCAAGGGGAGGAGAAGCAGAAACTGGAAAGTGTGACTCTGTCCCCTGCATCAGGGATGGCTGAGCTGTGCCAAGGGAATCTCATTCCTATGCATGCAGACAAAATGGTTCCCACTGGAGCCGCTCAAATAACAACCTGGAAGTTAGCAACCGTGTAAGCAATGGAAAAAGTTGCCTGTGGTACGGATGTGTCGGAAAACTGCTATGTAATGTTAGATCCTCTGGCAGTCAAGGAGTGTGCAAAATGAGAGTCCTTTGCATGAGCCTGGTGGTCTGGCTACCGAGACCACCTGAGAGCTGCACTGAAAGAGGTCTAGATTGATCCCTGGTGTACACATGTGCTATTTCTGCTGACAGAGACAGAAATCGTGGTGATCCACAGCACTGTAGGCTTTGGTCCCAGCTTGTGTTGTAGCTGGTGAGGTTTAAGTTTTAAAGCGTGGATCAGCTCCTTTCCCATTTGAGCCAATACAAATGCTATCGACCATTTAAAACCTCAGTCTGAGGGATATATGGTTGCTGTTTCAAGACTTGTGTGTTGCACAAGTTACTCTTTCATGCTTTTGTCCAGTGGTGTGTCCTGCATCTTTTCTCATGTTTAGACCACCATTTGTATTCCTGTGCTGTCTTTCCCTGACACTTCCTCCGGACCTACCCCAGCTAACGTCCAGGTTGTTCTGGCCCAGTAAATCCAGGTCAAGTACTTGTAAAATGCAGGAATATGCTATGCTTCATCTCTAACTACTATTTTTCTATACATGGCTAGGTTAGGGGCTGGTTTGGAAGCAGTTTTTCTAGCAAATAGCTATCTTTTGGTGTTTGTTTTCCCCCAGAGGTGATGATTCTTACCCAGTCTGGTCTTCTTCAGCTTCCCCTATCTACTCTGGTACTTTACCTACCACTGAAATGCAACCTGCCTCCAGGGCAAAAGCAGCAGCAGTTTAATAACTTGGCATCGTTTCCAGGGCCAAAGGTGTGAGGCCAAAAAGGTGAAATTCTTCCTGGATGAAAGCATGGGGGCCACACACCTCTAATACTCACTGGAAACCCTCAAAACAAGGCTTAAGGGAAACTTAATTGAGACCCAGGCCTTCCCCATAGCTGTGTATTTCGCTTAAAGCAATATAAAATACAGCTAAAATAGAAAAAAAAAAAAAAAGAGGAGATTGAAGGGTTACAGACAGGTAGTAGTTGAGTTGAACTATCCAGGCTGCTTATGAAGGTTTCAAGCAATTACTCATGCTTTAAAGATGAAACTCATACCCAGGCAGTCTTCCCTTGTGAGCCCCATTTACTTGAGTCTCATTTGTGCATTTCTCACTGGTGCGCACAGCTCACGCACTCGGATGAAACCCCTCTCCGAGGGGCCACCAAGGGGAAAAAAAAAGTGTTAGGTCTTACTTAGAGATAAGTGAAGGAATACCTGGAAGGACTTGATGAAGGTCCAAAGGAGCGTCCGGATGCCCTCCCCTCGGCTCAGCAGCTTCACAAGACGCATCACGCGGAAGAGTCGGAAGAAGGTGATTGAGATGCGAGAGTTTTCCTCTGCGTTCTGGAAGCCATTGGCACAGAGGCAGGAGTTACAACAGCACGGGAGGAACAGGAGCCCTGGGCCACAGAGGACGCTACGCCGAGAGCTCACTGCACTGTTCCTTGTCCTGGTACCGCTCCCTGGGCTTGCACTGCCCCAGCGCCCCAGGTCAAGCCTGCTCTCTCTCCCATGGTGGTGAGGCTGCTCTATGGGGGCTCTCGAGGCCATCAGCCTCTCCCCTCAGGTTGCCTGGACTTTTGGGGATTAGGGATATGTTATGCTATAAACCCCGCCGTGACATCTCCTCCTCACACTGGAAAGATGCAATTCTCCTTTGACGTTGTACTGGAGGAGGAAGATACTTTCTCTTTTGACCTGTCTGGGATGTTTTACCCCAGCAAGCGCCTCAGCCAGCAGTTCTGGTGTCAGGCATCAGCCATGTGCCGCTTGCTCTGCTGGGAAACAGTAGCAGGTCCCAGGTCTGCTCCGGGGTGCGAAACCCCGCGGGGGCACGGCGTGCGCTGTCCCCTGCCCAGCTGCTGGCGTCACTGGCACTGCTGGCAGCCTCGCTGTCCCTGTGCTGCTGTGGCCATGCTTCTGGGGGCCAGGCCGTGGTCGCTCGCTCCCCCTGCTCTGCGTTTGGGCCTTTCGCATTTCTCATGACCCCTTTGTATTTCCCACAGTCTGCGCACTGACTTTTTTTTTGTTTTTTTTTTTTAAACATTTTATTTTGGCCTCACTGCTACTGTTCATGGCAGTATTTTAAAATAGTCTTTCTTCTGGCCTGTTTTTTTCTCACAGCATCTGCTTTGTCCCTAAGCATTTTCCCCTGGGCCTGTAACCAGCTCTGACGTTCCTCGGCCTTCATACGTGTGAAGGCCACGTCCGCCCGAGCGCTGCCACGGTGGCAGACTCACCTGGGCCTCGGCGGAGGACCCACTGCCTAGCTCGAGGGGAGGCGAGGCACAGAAAATGCTGTGTTTTCCCAGTTCGTTAACCCCCTAAAATACTGTGTGAAGCCTGCAGAGCTGGTGGCTTCCACTAGCAGCACTGTGGGAATGTGACCTCCTGTCACAGGGGGAGATAACACTGTCACCCTGCCACTTGACCTGCAGTGGAGCAAAGAAGTGCACAGAAACTCCCTCTCTGTCCCCACCCAGGCTGCAAAAACTGCAGTTTGAGTCTGAACACCACCAAAAGAGCAACATTTAGGAGGAAGAAACAGTGCAGATCACCCCCGCTGTTAACTACTCACCACTGTGTAAACCAAGAGAGAACAGACCCTTTGGATTTCCTGTCACCGGGCAGCAAAACCAGCAGCTGCTTGCCTGTCTGCTCCTGATAAAACCCAAGGCACGGGAACCGCCTGGATGTACGTTTCTGGGATTAAATGTCCAGATGAGGACATGTACCTGTGCGCTGTGCGTGCTCCTGTTTCCAACCCAGGATGAGCAGGCTGGCACTCAGCTCTGCCGGCCCCTGGCTGGGTCCATGCCCCAGCTTCTGCTGTGCAGCCGTGGGGGCACACAGGGGCCATAGCTGCTTGCTAGCGTGCGTGAACCCCTCTCGCACAGAAGGCGCAGCGCTATGTGCAATAGTTCAGGATTGCACCCCAGCTGCAGTTTGCCTGTCTATCTGTAGTGAATCACTGGTGGATATTTCGGGTAGCTTCCTCCAGTCTGCAGCAAAGGCTGACGCTTGCTGCCATGCAGTAACCGGGTGAAGAAGATTAGAGGAACAGGCTATGTCAAGGAAAAGCCTCCCTACATCTCACATCATTCTCATTTTCTGACTTGGACAACAGGCTGGGGGCTTCAGTGAATCAGAGGGAATTGCTCTGAGGTGAAGGAGAGAATGTGGCCTCCAAGAAATCAAAAATCATGGCATTCAATACTCTCAGCACTACAGTCCCAGAGGGCTAACTATAAGGTCACACACCTCTCCCAATTCTACTGAAGTCCTATGGCCTCCCTTCCACTTTTTCTAAGAAGCTAAACTCCAGCTAAAAGAGAGTTGAGGTCCAAATTTAAAAGTTGTGTGGACAGCAGTACTGCTGTGGCTGTGACCAAAAAAAAAGTGTTTTCTTGTTCTACCTGCTGCTGCTCTTGTCAGCTTGGCCCTTTGGATGGCAGCAAGTTGGGACATGGATCTGGAGAGAGGTTTTAGCATTCCCTCGTTTTTTCTTGCTGAGAGGAGGCAGCTGCTGTAGGCAGAATATTATCCCTGTCCTCCTAGGGTCCTGGAGTAGGCAAAGTCTAAGCAGCAGATAAAATAGAACAAATTCCTCTCTGACGCAAATCTGCAACTTACTGGCATCAAACCATTTAGCCAAAAACACTCAGTGATGCCTCGGGAGATTACGGTCATTTTGAGACTAGGTGGCTACAGATTAGCCCATGCTTGAGTAGCCTTGCTTGCTTTCTCCTGGCTTTCATCCAGCTTTTTGAAGGCATATCATTGCTGGAGGAGGGAGGTTCTGCAAAGTGGCAATCAAGAGACTGGAGTTACTGCAACTCTGTTGGGGTGGTGTCAGAACTGCCTTGTACACCAAGGCAGCAGAGTCTGTGTGCACCATTGCACGACTTACTCTTTTTTGTGCAAAGGACGAACTCAAATGTTACAGTGAATCACCTCATTGAAGAGGAACTTCAGAGTCCCGATCCTTTCTACTCTGGAGGCTTGGACATGAAGTCACATTGCAAACTCACTCAGTGTCACATTGATAATGACATTGTTGCTAACAAGAAATCCTACCAGGTCTAGTTCTCTCTTGGTGAGTCATTAGAAGGCAGAACGACAGTTAACTTGACCAAAGGAAAGCTCAGGATGCACAAGAAATACACATGTGCAGCATATTCACAGCTCATGTGAACACCAGACTCACACCAATACACAACATGGCAGCTTCATGCACAAATAACTAGGCTGGGCTTGGAGAGAGAACTCGTGATCACAGGGAAGAGAATAAAGGAGTGTGTTAGAAAGAGTGATGTATTTTCGGTCTTACCATAGAGGAAGAGCATTGGGTATGTTCAGCTGGCTTTAAAGAAAGGCAGACAGAAATAAGCTGTAATAAGTCTCCAATCAAGAGCCCTAGTAAACTAGGTCTTGGCTAACACAGGAGCAACAAAATGGCAGAAGAGGGCAAAAAGGAGTTTGGAAGAAATGCACAAGAGGCTGGGCTTATTCCCTAGGATGCCCAGAATCAAAGCTGGCCATGGCAGAAGTAGGTACAACTCCCATTGAATTTGATGTAAGCTGTATCCACTACCACCACCTGTGAATTGCACCCGGTATCCTGGCATCCAGGCAGTGGAGGTACTGGTATTGTTAAAATGTTTCTTGTATCACTACTGTCAAGTTCAATACAGGGACTGATTTAGCTCCCCAACCCAGATCCAGGCCATGTCTGCACAGGGACCAGCCAGCTTCTGGTGCATCAGTCTGATTTGTAAACCCATAATATCCCAGTGCTAAAGCAACACTTTCTATTTATATATCCCCATTCCCTTACACATAGTTCTGGGTGATAACATTGTTGTTACTAAGACAATGGGTTGGGACAGTCTAATCTTGGCAACCCTACAATACCCGCTGCCAGTTGTGGAAAGTGGGTTGGTAAAGCTGGTTAACTTGCTATACCTTCACCCACCTCACAGCAAAGCTCTAGAGACCCAATGGATGTGTCCTTGGAGGCCAAGCTGAGCCGAGCCGAGCCCTGGTCATGCCTGGAAGACTCTAATTGCTGCAAACACTCTGCCTGACATTCCTTGATTAACTTCTGGGGCCATTTCCAATACTGAGAGCAATTCTAAAAAACGCCCAAGGCTGCAAATACCCTTAGGTGTAAGAAGCAGAATTGAAAATTAAATAAAATCAGCTTTATTGGGAGTCCTTCAGTTCAATAGTAACATAATCCTTCAGGCCTAACCTCTACCATATGCCAAACCTGTCTGTCATTACTTCCTGTGACTACATCAGCAAAGCTGAAACTGATGTATTTCTTCTTCTGCCAATGGCAGAATTCACCTCTGGTGCCATGAAGGACTCCTGCAGTGTGCTTCTGCTCTCCAAGGACACTGCAGTAACCAAACTGGCATTGTATTACCTAAATAAAAACTGTAGTTTGGATGCACTGCCTATTTGGTGATACAGGCAAATGAAAACAATTAAAAACCAGAGGTACACCTAATCGTATAATAGTCTTTTGTGTTAACTCATTGGTTTGGTAGTGTCAGCTTTCATTGCTTTTATCCTCCTCTTTCACATGTTTGCTCTTGTGTTTTATTTTCAGATCACATACAGGCAAAAGTTGGCTTGAATACCAAATAAAGGAGCGGTGCCCATAGGGACATTTCTTACAGACCAGGCACAGATTTTGATTTTGTGTTGCTGGGCAAACATCTCCTTTCCAGCAAAGAGTTTCTCTGTCCCATCCCCCTTCCTCTTTCTGGTTTGGCAAATCATCTTTTCTAACAATAGAAGGACCCTTTTTCTGCTAGTTGCTGCATTCCTGGTAGAAGGTACAAAGCCCCTTCAAACTAACTGAAGGAAGCCCAAAAATTTTCAGCACCTTTCAGGATTCTCCGTCCTTCCTGGCTGACAGTGTTGGTGCATCTGTGACTGACTGGCTGAAGAAGCCCTGTAAGTTACTGTGGAATATTATACCTTAATTGCAATTTTGATATTGTTAGTATTTCATCAGAAAGAAATAGCAATGTAACAGAGTAAAAAAATCTGTCTAAAAGGATATGACTATATAAGGCACTGTTGATACGAGATGCTCAACTCGGAGGAGCTGGCATCACATTGAAAAACTAGAAACCAAAGGTTCTGAGTACCTTTGGCACTGCTAAGAAAGTGAAGTAGAGGTTGACTTCCTCCTCTCTTATTCCCTGAGCTAACTGGCCTGTGTTTTAAGATGGGGTCAAATATGTAGCAAATTATATCACTACCTACAGTAAAGGCTCAGAAGCAGCATGGGAAAGTTTCCGTTAACGCTGGCAGGTGATATTTGTACAAACTATAGCACTGTGGGCTGAGGTTACCGATATGCTTGTGCATACAGTATTTTGTGCATGAGTATATGAGCGGGAAATCAACCCCCAGCTGCAGGTTGCTGAAAACATTTTCTAATATCCACAAATGTTTCAGAGAGGAGCCAAATCCTACCGTTTTCCACCTGTGCCAAAAAGTCACCATATGGACCTGAGCACAGATATCTGAGAACCCATTACTGGGACTTTCAAGTGTGGCCATTCCTAACTATAAAGCCGAGACACCTATTGCTAGATTTTCTGAGAATCGTCAACTTTGCAAGTGATGTGGGTGTGCCAATTTTAGGACAAGGACAGGCACCCGGCACCTGCGAACGTAGTAGTCACATCAGTTCACAGGGATGGAGACGTGGTGTAGGTACTTCAATTAAAGCCAGTGTCTAATGCCCGTCTGAAGTGAACAGGATTTCTACAAATCTCAGAACAATGTACAAAAGCAAATCCTCATCTGTTTAATGTCTTTGAAGGAGCTTTTGGAGAAGCTACACCACTTAAGAGAAGGCAGCTTTGGCTGTACTGTTTTACTTTCAGTCATCTCTTCCCCTACATGTGGTCTAACCTGCAAAGGAACTTCAAGTATTCTACCCTGCTTTTGTCATTTGGGGCACAAGTAGCATGCACATAACTGAACGAGAAAGGGCAACAACAATAACAGCAAGACATAATGCTCTGCGCAATTGCCATCATAGAGAAAAGGGACCTGAAGTATAAATCACAAATAAGCCCAGGGGCATAAGAGTGATGCAGAAGGGAACCTAAGGCTAAGAGTGGGAAGAGAAAATACCTGAGGCAGGATGCCTCTGTGTAAAGACACTCAATGGGTATGAGTACAATGAAACTGCTTGGGCCATTTCTTTTTTTTTTTTTTTTTTCTCTTGATGTCACCATATTAAAAAAGGTAACAGAGATGCTAAGGAGCAGAAGAGGTCAAGAAACAGAAAAGCAAGTTCTCGAAGCCAAAGTAAAAATTCAAGTAGGATAAAGACTGAGGGATTCCTGAAGCATGTCTGAAAAGCTCCCCAGAATATTGTTGCCTGCATATATCTCATTTTAACTATGTTCAATGTGTACCAGAGCACCAACATTTTAAACAGACACATTGCTCGAGCTCCTGCTAAACTGTGTGCAGCCCTTAAAGCCCCTGTCCTTAAAGCCCCTACAGGCACAAAAGTGAAAGGCACAGCTTATGCCCATCATGAATTCAGGATCCCAGGTAAGGAGGTCTCTGGGAAAGAAGACAGGTTTATTCAATGGAGAGATACTTAAAATCTCAGAGACCACAGCAGTGAATAAGGTAGCTGATAGAACACAGGTTCCTGCTAATCGTGCTCCACCTGGTAGGTGGGAGTGAGGCTTACTGGTGGCTATTTGCAAAGAACATACTACCTCCAGATGGGTACAGGGAGCATCAGTGTCTCCTGAACCTCCGTACTGACTCACATATCAAACTTAGTGTCTGATCTTGCCATCAAGTCAAGGAAATAGTTTTTAATAAGTTGTGTTTATGGGTTTCCAAATCCTGTTCGTAGCATGAATGCTTTGGAAGCTAGGAGAGGATAAAATTTGCACTCCAGGAGAACCAGTTTCAATGTTCAAAGGGCAATACGTAACAGTCAACATCATACGATGTTTATGCTGTAATGTAATCCATTCTGAACTTCTGAGAAGGGATGACTTGACTTTTCAGAGCTGTAAGGACAGGAGCAAAAATATGAGCAAAACAACTAAAGACTTTGTACCGTCATAGTAGTATCAAAGCCCCTTGAAATACCCATGGTTTAGAATATCTTCTGGATAGACAAAGGTTTGGAAGGAAACAATAAGGTGTGTTAATAAACAGATTCAAATGAAAGTTTCAGTAGAAAAATCCTGAGAAGAGATATCAATCCCACCTCATCCCTGTGGAACACTGGAGATGGAGGACCATGTTGAGAGGTTTGAGTCCCCTGGGGTTTTTGGCTCATTTGCTGACAACTATAATGGCTATCCAGAGAAGCAGCACCTAGAAATGCCTGAAGAGGAGCTCCATTAGGTTTGTACAGCATATATTTAATCAACATATCCAAGGAGGCTCCTTGACTTCTGGGTTAGTATGTTTCAGTAGTTGTAGAAGCCTGTCTGCCGCTGAGATGACGGTACAGGCAGGCGGCATTCCCATTACCAGCACTGTTGATGGTAGTAACTTTTTTACGCCACAGGACACAGTGAAGGTGATGAGTTCAGCTCGTTCAGAGGATCCAGTCTTTGCCAGGAAGTCCAAACTGATTTTTTCCTGATTTTTGAGGAGTAAAACTTCCTTGCTGATAGTCTTTTTACTTTCTAACAAGACTTCTTCCATTCGTAGGGAGGAGTCTCTTTTTGCAAGACAGAATCCAGCCTTTATGTTATGGAGAACTTTGGCCTGGCTTGATCTGGGGAACATTTAAGCAGCCAAATGCACAGTGTTATTGTTGCTTTGTTAGTCAGAGTTGTTTCAGTCAATGCAGTGGTACAATGGCAGCCTTCTAATTTTGGCTGGTCGCCCTAGGTTTGAAGAGATGAGAGGAAATCTGTGGTTGAGACTTTGGCACCATGGTATGACAGAGTATATTAATATTTCTCAAGAAAACAAATGGTCAGATGCTTATGTTGCCTTTTGTGACAAACAATCTATAATGGCATTTCTCCACTGAAGAAAATATGGCTTGTGGATGAAGCTCTAAGGAGACCACTTGCTGTTGGTTTTTGGTGATGGATGTCTGCTAAGATGTTTCCTTAATTGCTGTTGACATTTGGAGAATGAAAAGTTACCCATGAAGATGCCGTATCTGTTGGAAACTTGTCCATTGGTCTGTTAGCCTTCTCCCATGAGGAAGGGGGTGATAGATGTTCACTTCTTGCTTTTTTTCTACTCATTGCAGGAAGGATGCCTCTGAGAAACCGCACTGTAGAGTTCGCCTGAGGAGGCTGCAGTGCTGTGTAGCTCCTTTGCAGTTCTAGGAAA